AAGTAGATTATAAAAAACAATGGTCAAGAATTATTTAAAGTTCTGGATGAATTAAAATCTTCAGCAAGAGGCCAAGGTATTCCTGGAATGTCATTTCATATTTGCACGGGCATTACTTTAGCATTTAAGAAGTGAGGTAACATGGAAATTGCAAGGCACGTTCAGACAGCATAGTTCTGTCTGCATCCCGATGCCTTCAGCCACGCTGTGGTCAGGCAGCCTTTGAGCAGGCTGTGAGCATGGCTCTGCATTCACCCTGTGTGTTGCTTTATAAATGCTGTTTGTCTTTCCAGTACAAGATTGAGTACTCCCAGCTGGCGAGTCGGCAGCTTCAGATCTCCGTGTGGCACGCAGGAGCTCTGAAGTACAGGGTGTTTCTGGGGGAAGTGGTGATTCCATTGGCCACGTGGAATTTTGAAGATAACTCGATGGAGGCATTCAACTGGTACCAGCTAAAATCCAAGGTGACTGTTAGTTCTTGTGCTTGGATCTTAACAACACAGTGTTGTGAAAGTTATGAAAGAGATCACCCTTCTGAGGTCATTGAGGGAAGAATGCCATCAATCCAGCCCACGAATAACACCTGTTATAAATATAAATGAGTTGTGAGAATGATGTGGAATAGAATGTAATGCACGTCTCTCTTTTCAGCTTGAAAAGCCTGAAAATAACCTTATCCAGTACAGTGGAGAACTCCTGGTGTCTGCAAGACTGTCGGTACCAGCCCAGTATAAAAACTTCCAGTTTGAAAGGTGGTTGAGAGAAGGTATCAAACATTCCAGAATACCTGAATCCCTTGGCTAGAAAAGAATTAGGATCAGTGAAGGACAATGTGCCTACTTCACCTTTTTGTTCTTTTTAATGCCAGCAAAAGATGATTGCTTTAATAGCGGTCTTAATTAGCTGTTAGGTTAGTTTTGTTTCCTTTTTTCCCCCACAAACAATCCTGAAGTCACCAGCTTGCATTCTTCCATTTTTCTTCCCTACTCATGCCTGCTGTGCCTCTGCTCTACAAACAGAGCTGTAACAGAGGAGCACTACCACACCACGGGCTGGGCTGTTTCTCCTGCTTCTGGCTTTGTTTCAGGGAAACTCTCCTGTGGGTATTGCCCCGTGGGTACTTTTTGGAAATACAACTGAAAGCTCTATCCTTGGAATAGGAATTGCAGAGCTTTTATTCACTGCTTGTGAATCATGACCTGTATAAGCAGGTTCAAATCTTTCAAATGATCTGAATGCAGCACTGAGTCATTATTTCAGTTGTAGCGATTACTTAATAATTTTCCTGCTTAATTACAGCGGCATCTTACGTTATCAGCTGAACTAACTGGTCACTATTTAATGTGATGAATTCTCCTGTTTCAGGAAAAAAAGACGAAGGAGTTTCGAACTGCCAGCTTCAGGTTATGATATTTGGGGCCAAGAACTTGCCTGTGCTGAGACCTGCTGGAATGCTGAACTCATTCGTTAAAGGGTATGTATGAGACTTAGCACTTCAAATGGAGAGGGTCACAAACATCCTGTGCAAAGGTAAGAATTAACTCGCTTTCATCAGGAGGCTGCTGTGTGAAAGTGGCACTGTCCACTGCTCTTAGTCAGACGTGCTTGTAATTGTGACAGTTTACAGCTGAGTGTCTGCGTAATAGCAGCACGCAGCAGGACAGTGAAGGGTCCTGAGTGGAACATCACAATTTACTGTTGGCATTAAAATTCAGAGTTCACTATTTTAAGCATCTGCTTTTAGATATTGGAAGGAAAAAATGTGTGACTCGAGGGAGGTGAAAATACTGTATTTTAATTCCTGGTTTCAGCTGTGCCCTTGCACAATTTAATACAGCTTTGGGTAGTGAGAAGAAAACTTTGGTCTACACATTTTAAAAGGGAAAGGATTGAATTTTTCTTCAGCGTGCTGGGTACTTAGTATGTGGAGTCATTTTACTTTCTGGATGTCAGGCATACATTACAATATTAAAATACCTCCTAAAGCCACTTCACCTGCTGTGGTACCTATCTTCAGTGAAGGGGGTGAGCATTTTATCTACCGCACAGGCAGGTTTCAGACAGTATTGGGTAACAGAACTGGGAGTAAGGGCTCCCTCATCACAACAGAGGACAGTGACAACAGAGGAAAAACAGGTAGAAGACCCACACTGAAGGCAGACAGAAGGAGCCAAAGTCCCCCAAAGAAACAAACTAGCATCATGTTCCACATTGCACTTAGCTGAACTCTTTGCTTTCTAAGGCAAAGTGAAGGGTCCTGCTTGATTAGTGCCCATATTCTGTTTTCTAATTGAGTAAAACACTGCTTGGATCAGAAAACTTGCTGAACTCTTGTTTTGTTTTTTCTTTTGGGAAGCTGCCTTGTCCTTCCAGACCAAGCAGAGTTGAAGCAGAAGTCGCCTGTCCTGAAGAAAGAAGACTGTCCTCAGTGGAAACATTTGTTTGTCTTTGATGTTACCCCAGCACAGCTACAGCAGTCATGCCTACACTTGACCCTCTGGGACCAGTCAACTTTTGGCTCACACGATCAGTTCCTAGGGGGAGCCAAGCTTGGTGCAAGTAAGTTCTTCATCACTAAATGTTGAAGGTAATTTTTTGGGGAAAAAGATAATATTTTACATGCTAAGTAGTATTTGCACTGTGCATCTGTCATGTGCCTGCACACACAGCCCCTAAACCCTGACCTAAGCAACTTGCAGTCTCAGGCTTTGATCCTGCAAGAACCAGTGCTCGTGTTTTAGTTCAGGCCTGTGCAGAAGCTCTGGGCTGTCAGTGGGCATTGTCAGGCAAAGACATTCGTTAGCATGGGGATGTTCAGGGACAGAGCCTGGCCACACAGAAGACAGGAACAGAACAGGTGAGTGCATCAGCTCATCTAGAGCTCCCTACGTATTTTTCAAGACTTGTTCCTTCAGCAGTTTTCAGTGACTTGGCTTTTTTAAAGTACTAGCATTCACAGCAGCAGTAAGCACATGAATACCTTGCAGGTGTCTGTGCTTATTGATTTATATCCACAAATCCTTCCAATGGGAGATGCAGAATGTGAAACTTGCTCAGAAGTCCTAAAGAGACTAAGCGCATATTTGAGCTTTAGGCTCTGGTCTAACAGCAAAAAGAGCCTTCTTTCTCAAAGCTCAGAAATGTTTGAGAAATCCTCTGTTCACGGACTGGGCAGGACTATTAATTTGACTAGAGAGCTATTGTCACTTGAAGGCTGCCCAGTGGAGTCCCTCACCCCGTTTCCCAGACAGTAAATGCTTTGGTTTCAGTATTTGAGATGAAAGGCTTAAAATTGAGACACGTCACCGAGCTGTGCTATCAGCGTGCACTTTAGAAGAGTGTTATCACTAGCAATACAGTGTGCAGGTTTCCTCATGAGCTGCTTTTGATTGTTTTATAGCATTTTCCTTTCTGTTAAAGCAGGGCCTACACGCTTCTGAGTGACAAAGACCATCCAAGCCCCAAGCCTAGTGAGGCATTAAAGTCACTGCAGATGACCAAGCTGATCTGTTTTTGCCATGCACACTGCTTTTAGTCATACAACCAAGAATTTTTTCTTTGCTGCAGACTGAGCTCTTCACTGATCTTACTTTAACAGTATGTAAATAACGTTCTATAACTACAAATTATTGCAATGAATGATGTGAGTGCTACAGAACAGCTGAAAATGCTCTAGAATTGAGAGCAGCAGCTTGTTTGTCGTCCAGTCATTTGGGCCAGAAGAGGTACAGAGCTGGACCTAGAAAAGCCTTTGGGTAAGGCCAAACGCAAAGTAACCCTGTGACCTTCCCTTTTGCTTTCTTGCAGAGGAATCGCTTGGATTTGCAGATGCTCTTTCTCAGTCAGCACTTCAATGGCAGGAAGTGCTCTGCAGGCCAAACACGTGGATGGACTTCACACTTGTACTGCATTCAAATATGGAAAACTTTAAATCCTGAGAAATTACTGCACAACTTTTCCTCCCCCATGTGTGATGTTTTAAATACGAGTGGCACATACACATGCCAGGTCTGGGGAAAGGTGTGCTACAACAGTACCTACGTCAGCATCCGGGGAGTAGTTGTACAGTGGAAGGGGTGTGACACTGAAGGTTGTATTTCTCCAAAAACTAAGGCTTTGTTATCTGTATCTCTAGGTGGGATGTAAGGTTAGTATTGTTTCTTCAGGAGTAACAGACTCTGAAATGAATGATGCTGACAAGGTACTAGCAGACAGATGGTTTGCAGCTTCCTATTTCTGGGTATAGAGTTGGAGTTAGTTGAACACAGATTGGAATACTTCATAGGGAAAAATTCCTAGCCTTAAACTTAGCTGATTTCATTCTAGCTTTGATGCTTCGTATGTGACCAGAGAGGAATGGAAACTAGATCATCTTTAATGGTTTGTTGTAATTAGTGACGCTAACCTCTATGCTTCAGAATTACCTCTAGTGCCCATACTACTTCACGTAACCCTAAAAAGCTTCTGCCTGGGTGGCCCACCGGTCTTTCAACTGGGTGCTATGCTAGAGGTGGTTACAAGCAGTTAAAATGTATAAATTCTCCTTCAGCCAGGGAACGCAGGGCATCAGCTTGTAAAATAAATGTGGTTATAGAAAGTTCCTTGTTCTTCTCAGCTGCTGCTGTGAACCAGTATTAACAAGCCTGACTGACCCAGGTGGTATATGGCACAGCCAAACTTATCACTTATTCAGGTGAACTACTGGAAATGCAAGCTTAATGCCAACTGCCCTGTCACCTCCTTTTGCCTCAGAGGAAGCAGTGTTACAGGCAGCAGAAGCTTTGTATTTACAAGCATAACTAGTGCTGCTGTTATACCTCTTTTCCCTGTGACTGAAGGGAAGATTCCAGCATGGGTTACCCTTTCTTTTCAGACCAGCACAGTGTTTAAGGAAACAGAAATAAAATATAGGGATTCACATGCTAGCCTCAGAATCTTAGAAACCAGCATACCTTACCCAGTATCCATGCTACACTCGAAGAAACACTCGACTCCAACTCCTTTGTTACTCTGCAGATCTTTTATTTAGATGTTTGCTGCTGCAAATAAAAAACCACCACACAACAAAACTCAACTGGAGTATAAAGCAGCATAGATGTTGTAAATGGAAGAGAAGAGCTGACAACATACTGTATCTCACTTTCTAACAGATTTTCAAGGAAAGGGGGAGATTAGTGGGGAAGGAATAGTCACAGAAATGCTCTCTAATAGAGAGAATACAACTGTGATATAAACAAGCAGTCCCTTCATGTTTGGAGTCTGAAACTTTAAATCAAACATTTAAAAAATTAGAAAATTTGTTAGAAAAATAGGTGCAGTAAAATTGTATATATTGGATCATGTGTACATATCAATTTTTCATCATTAAGTAAAAAAAGTGATCTTTACAAATAATGCTTTATAGTAAATAATCAGTTGCACTGCAGACTACAGTGTTTAGACTTCTTTACAGATGCAAGTCTCATTAAATCTGAAAAGTAACAAAATATACAGAGCAAAACTATTCCCCTTTTAAACTAGTACAGCAATCCACGTATTGCATATTTTATATATATATAAATACTACACTATAACTGATCAGTAATGAAGCTGGAATGCAAACACGGTAGTGTATTATTCCAACAGAGTATCTGCCTAGTTGTTACGGAAGGAGGGTGTCAGTGTTCCTACGCCACGCTGGTGAGCTGTCACTGCAGAATACCTCCAATTGAGCACAGTAACCAGAAAAAGCCTTATTCCCATGCAAAGTAGTTCTGAGGTGTTGTCAGTTCTTTTATTTGTGTATCAGGGGAAGGTGGGCATGAAGACGAAGGAAAAAAACAGGGTGCATGCACAAGCACACACACAGGTGTTTGCAGTTCCTGAGTTGTCTTCTCAACTGTTGGACTTTACACTGTGACTGTAACACAGACATATGGCACAAAATTCATCCACAGTTGCTTATTTTTAGACCCAGCTGAATCCAGCACCTGCACAGGACCCGCATCTACAACTCGATGCAGGTTTGTGTTGCTTAAAGAGAGATGTGACATAAGCATAAGGCCTTTTGGCACTAAGCAAAGGCATGAGCAAGTTACCAGGATCAGTGGTACGATGAATTTTAACTATATCAAATTTAACACACAGGATGGAATGAAAGGGAGATGCAAACACCTCTGGGTTTAGAGGACATTTGTTAAATATCATAGTAACCCCTCCTCAGGGAAAACAACAACAAACAAAAACACAGCATTAAGATCTGCCTTTCCCACAGTCTTGCTTTCTTGTTATAAGCATCATTACATTGCCTCAAACTCATCAATTCTCTGCTTGGTGTTGCCTTGCCGGATTTGTCGCAGTGTCTTGTACTTGTCACGTCCCTGCCGCACGTTCTCTGAGTGGATAATATCATTTTGGGTCCTCTTATCTTCATCTCTAGCCTGTGCCAGCTCATCTGTCAGTGCCTGCAATAAAAAGAACATTACAAACAGATTACACACAAGAAGCTTCCAGCTCATGACAGCAGTGATTTTGATGAGATTTAACAGTCCTTAAATGACTGGACAGATCAGTGATATAGACGCAATGTATGCTTCTCATGAACTTCTGCTTCTCATAAGCGAAGAAGTTATTGAGCTTTGTGTATTTAACCAAGTGGTTAAATTATCCATTTTCCAGGAATAATTTCTTTCATCACTTTCCCTCCTCCAAACATTTTCTTACCCTCAACTGCCTCTGTACACGCTCGTTCTTCTCGGCCTCAGTGATGCGCTTCTCCTCGTTGCGGTCGTTCCTGATGCCCTCACTGGACAGCTCTGCGCTGAAGGCAGAGTACTCGGACCCCTCGTCGTGCAGGTTATCGTGAACGTGGTAGTTCACGGTCTCATAGACAGGTGGGGGTGGAGGTGGAGCAGTCATTACCAAGTGCAGTTCCTCCTTTGTCTTTACCAGATCCTCCTGGGCTTCCCTTGCCTGGGGAAAAAAAAAAAAAAAAAAAAAAAAAGAACATTTTAATGCATTTCTTGATTTAAACAAGCTTTATGAACACTTCAATGCTTATTTTCCCAGTTTTGTCATTCTACAATGTAAAGCAAGAAATCAGGAATTAAGTCTCCAGCTGACAGTACTTTGTTACCTTCTTGAGCAGATTTCTTTTTTTTTTGCTAGTGACAGTATTATTATCCATGGCATAATACGCAGGGTAGCTAAATTAAGAACAGTCCTCCAACAAAACAGTTTTTCCTAAACCGTTTTGTAGAAATTACCTTCAACCCGTTCTCCATTTGAAGAAGCGTAGGTTGTAAATATGGGTTCTAGAGAGCAAGAACCTAGACTCCTGAGTTGGCACGTGTAACAAGGTTATGCAGTAGGAAGACAGCTTTCTTGCTTCTTCAGTGGTTCTACCCCCCTGTTCAGGCTGCAGCAATAGTGATGTGGCACTGGGAGCACCAGACATCGCCAGCCTCGCGTGGTTCATTCTCGGTTTTACCATGTCTAGTTACACAGTTCTCCAGACCCAGGTACCAGGAAGCCACTGACAGCAGCCTCAAGGCTGGTGCCCTCTCCAAGATGATCACATTTTTAGGTTTTATACGACTCCCATTTTGTATTTTGACTAAAGGCTTGTTGAAAGCAATGTTTTGGAGGCATACTGCACATTAACCACAAGGCTGGCCTTTTCTGCTGGTGCATGGATGCGAGTCTCCACATATGACAGAAGTTACACCAGGCTAAGCACCACGGTACGCTCTGCCCAAATGCAGAGCTTCAGAGCAACTTTGACGAAGATACTCACTCTGATTTGCCATTCTTCAACTTCGCTCTCTTTACGCTTCCTTGCCTCTTCCAGAAGTGCAATCTTGGCTGTATACTCTGCAAGCTCTGTAGCCTGTTAAATAATACAATTGGAATTATAAGGACTCAAAAAAAAACACACAAAGAAACATGTTTGACTGAGAAAAGACCCAAGTATTATACTCCACTCTAATAAAGAATGAACAGGAAATTAAGAACAAAAAGTAGGTTGCTTGTGATAGAATCATTGTGGCACTAGCATCTTTCTATCAGATGGTCCAGTACTTTATTGCACTACATTTCTATTTTATTTCCCCCCGGAGCCTGAGGCTTTGCCTTATTCAAAGGGCACAGTAACATGCCTTTGCATCCACAAGTGACTGGCTCTTACCAGCTGTTCCTGGCTCTTTATCTGGTCAATAGTCTGTCTCTCCAGCTCTTCCTTGGCTTGCAGAACAGCCAAACGATCAGCTTCCAAACGCTCTGCTTCCTCCTGGGCTCGTCTCCTTTCCTCCTCCAGCTTAATAGCTCTCTGGATCTGATCTGAGAGCTCTGGGAAAAGACAGATCAGTGCTGTTAGTCCACAGGCCTGGCCAAAGCGAAGACAGGCTCTTAGGTAACTGCAGAAGTCACGACAAGCACATGGCTGCAGCCTACAAGCTCTTCATTACAGGACCAGATGTTGGTGTCTCCAGCCTGCTCATCTGTGCATTGAAACAGAAGCTTCCATTTCACTGGAAAGCCTTGTTCCCAAAGTACTATTTCTGTTAGTTGTTAAGTAAAAAGCACTTGAGAGCTGAGCTCTGTTTCTCTCTGCTGCAGAGGGCTTATGCTACTAAAACCCTCTCAGGTAACAGGAAAACAAAGTTGGTGTGACCTTCAATTCCCAGTTAGATTAACAGATTTTGTGACTTTTATGCCTTGGATGATCTCAGCAGTGCATGCATGTGTGCATTTATCATGGAGGTAGATACTCGTGTGCCTTGTCCGGGAGACCCAGTGTCACCAGATTTAGGCTGTGGAACCCAACACACGTGATCTGGTCAGACAGTCCAAGTACTTTACCTTTCTCTGCCTTCTGAGTCTTCACTTCATACTCTTGTAGCCTCACCAGCAGCTCTTCCTTCTCCCTCAACATTTGCTCTTTCTCTCTCTCAATCGTCTCCCTCCTCTTCTTTTCATTTTCTAGTTGTTGCCTGTGAGAAACAGATTTCATCCTTGAAGCTTGCTTACAGACACAAGCTACAGCAAGATAAGAAAAGTTGGATAAGAGAATTTAAGAAAATCTCTCCAGACAGTTCAATGGGAAATGACCATGAGACTGCCACAAGAGGTGTAACACAGAAATGCTTAAAGCCATTGTCTTGGGTTTGCCTAGGACACAGTTAATTTTCTTCGCAGAGACTGACACAATCCCGTGTTTGGATTTTTGATGAAAATAGTGGTGATAACACACGGATGTTGTAGTTGCTGCAGAGCAGTGCTTACACACAGACCCAAGGTCTTTTCTGCTCCCCACGCTGCCCAACCAGGAGGAGGCTGGGGGTGCCCTGGGAGCTGGGAGGAGACACAGCCAGGACAGATGGCCCGGGCTGACCAGGGAGATCTCCCACACCGTGTGGTGTCGTGCTCAGCAGCAACAGCTGGGAGAAAGGAGGAGAAAGGGGGGGACATCCAGAGCAGTAATGTTTGTCTTCCCAGGAAACCGCACACATGATGAGCCCTGCTTTCCTAACAGTGGCTGAGCACCTGCCTGCAGATGGGAAGAAGTGAATGAATTCCTTGTTTTGCCTTGCTTGCATGCACAGCTCTGCCTCACCTAGTGAACTGTTTTATCTCAAGCCACGAGTTCTCACACTTCTGCCTCTCTGATTCTCTGCCTTATCCCACCTGGGAAGACTGGGCAAGCAGCTGCATGGTACTTAGCTGCCTGCCTGGGTTAAATCCCAACGTTTGGTACTTAATCACTTCAGAATTAGTGCTCAGTTTTTGGATTCCTGCATTTCATTAAAATATTTGTATTTTCTGTTGCCTGCCCCAGAAATTTACAATACAAAAAAAACCAAACACATACCAGTAGATGCAGAGGGAAAAAAAAAACAGTGCTCTGTACTACACAGATTTCTTTGTTCTGTCATAAGGAAAAATCAAGGACAGAGAAACACGAGCACTGGAAAGGAAGACTAACAAGTCACCGATACAGGAGGAAAGCAGTAGGATTTCTTCAATCATAGGCAACCTGCAGCCGGTCACATAAGACCAGTAGAGCTATTAACCCATTTCCCTTGCCTGTAAGAGGTCTCCCACTCCCCTCTTAGCCTGCTCACAGCATACACACGTGCTCCCTGTGGAGTTTGCTCCCTCAACACAGATCAGCCCTAACAGAAGAGTCAGGAGAACCCCTCTGCAGGTATATGCTGCCCACAGAGCCCAGTGACTCCACTGGCACACCTCCTTGAAGGTCCAGCTCTCAAGGCTGCAAACAAGAGAGCCGACTGCACCGGTCACAGGTCTGAGCCAGAAGAGTGATACTGAGGCTCCCCCTGGGACTCGAGATACCCTGCAATGCTGCGAGCCAGAGCTCTGGGGCCACACACCACACCTCACTCTAAGTGGGATGGGTCATGGCTTTGCCTAAAGCTACCCAAGGAGCCCTGGCAGTTCTGTACATTTAACTCTGCCTCCCCACTGTCTGCATTCACGCTCACCTTCCAGCTGTTTCTGGTGCTTCTCCTCACGGGCCTGGGCTTCATCTGCTGCACCTCGATGGTGTCAGGCTTCCTGCGCTCATGTACAGTTCATGGTTGCCCATGCAGAGCTGCAGGATCCTCTTGTTAATTCTCAGACGAGGGGCATAAAACACAAAGTCCTAGAAGAGACACCGCACAGTCAATTTTTTGACTGCAGACATCATCCTGCCACTAATGTTGCTGCAAGGCACATACACATGCTATTTAAATATCTCAGCAAGGACCACCAAGATTATCTGAACCAAAGCAGTTTGTTATTTATATAATCCATCTCAAGCCTATATAGAATTGACAAATTACGCTTCTAGAAAAATATACTTTTAGAGAAAATTAACAGTCTCAAATGCATGCATATGGAAGACACTACTGAGCCGGACCTGCTGCAGAAGACTCTTGGTTAGTAGGTAAACATCTGGGAGACTCACAGACCTCTACTGTAAAGTAATTAGTTTTTAAGTTTGCATGGTTTTGTGTCTGAAATATAAAGCATGAAACAAAAAAAGAGTCTTCATTGCAGACTCTTAAAGTAACATCAGAATTTCCTGATCTATTTGTTATCAATACTCAAGACACCATCTATGTGTTTTTTTCCACAGAAGAAATGCCACCATGCAAAATTACCCTCCAAAAGCATTCTTTCCTCAGCATGGCACTTTTTAGTTAAGTTGACTGAGGGCCATTACAACATTGAAAGATATTTGTTTGAACCACCAAACACACGGACTACTTTGAATATTGTGTAGAGACAGTAGGCAAAACACATTCTGCCATTTCTGGTTCTGCAAAGAGAACACCCCAAGTTTCTTATCATCTCGATTATCAAGACTACTACAGGCACTATGCAGTAGGCTAGATCTCAAAACACAAATTTAATAGGAAGTTGGTCCTCCATATCCTTTTCATTAGCTGCCTAAAATTTTGAGTCCACAATATTTTATACACGCTTACAATACTGTCTGAACTAATAGAAAACAACACAATTTTCTGCCTCTATTGAATACTGTGTGGATGGTGAGAAGCAATAGGCAGGTATCAGATTACCACCAAAGCCAGGTACTCCTTAAGATTACTCTTGTCTTGGCTGCCTCATTGATAGCAAGAAGCGGAACTGAGGAGGAGCAGGCAGAAGCTGCGTGCATTTGCATGGCCAGCAGCAATCTGTTTTTAACTGCCCGAGTTCAGAAACACAACTTGTGGCTCTGTCTGAAAAAGCTAAAAGTCACACCAGAAGCAATGAAAATGCTCCTAGTCCTGTTAAGATGAGGCATGAATTTGCTGACAAAGAGTCATTTTCCTCAAAGCATTTTTCTTATTCACATATTGACTGCGAAAATGCCATCAGCAAGGTGTGCGGTGCCCAAATCCTGTCAGAGCATTCTCTGAGCTGCACACATCTCATACTGCTAGCTGAGACTGTAAGCTATTCATCTGCACTCCTATTCCTAATAAGTAATTTAAAAAACAAATGGTTTGTGTACATTGGTGAGAAACAGATCCTATCTTCAATCTAGGTTCGCTTCCAGTGAAAGCAAATACTGAGGGCACAGACGGTGGCTGCATTCATCATTTAATGGCAATTTGTGTACGAACATAAAAGAATCTCCCTCTCTTTTCTCATCATCCCCCTGTCTAGCACAACTGGGAGCACTGCAGCTTGATATATTAAAAATGTGCTAAAGATGCTGGGGTATGTGGGCAGATAGGGCTAAAAATTAAAAAGCTGACGCTGGGCAAGGTGCCACAGAATGCTACCCGTGAATTAGTATCCATTTTAACACTGACATGGACGATGGTCCAAGTTAAAGGGGAGCTTCCACCTCACATCTAGGGTAGACCGAGTATTTTTGCTTTTTATGAATACTTTACTTTTTGAAAAGAGATGCAAACAGATGAAAGGATCTAGACAGCTTCCTGACTGTTCAGAATTAGTGTCCATATAAATTAGTGTCTGTATAAATTCTTCTTTCAGACATATTTTTTAAACATAACACCACCCAGAGGGAAAAGGACAACTGAGACAACGGAGAAAGGGATCATAATTGATGTTTACAATGTTGACACCTTGCTGTATCAGCCTCTTGCAAGACTCCCAGTTCAAATTCAGTCAGATTTACTGTTAGGGAGCGGAAGGTAATGCAAATGTCAGTGGAAATTCAAATGTCAGCATGTCAGTGAATGAAGAGGAAGCTAAGAGTTGCAGAAGTCAGGGGAGCAGTTCATAGGCTCAGAGGATGTCACTGAAACCTCCCCTGATGGATGACATTTTGAATACTGCAAATGACAGAGAAGGAAGCCAGCTGTAAATGAATTCAGTACATACTTTAAAGTCTCTGTGATTAACTGTGGAAGATAATTTCTATGTGTTAGTGATGAGGTTAAGCAGGGTGAAGTGGCCAAGGAAACCAAGACTGATATTGTAAAGAAAGGAATAAATGACTTTTAGGGAATCAGATTAACCAGATTGCTCACTTTGCAGAGGAGTGAAAACACGAACAAGGCCTTTGGCACTCTCACAGTTTACTGTGCTGTGGATGTCTGAGACATTGCACAGACAAATGAATGACCATTTTGGGTGACATTTGTGATTCTACTGGCAACAATTTGACACTTTACTAGTTTGTCTTAAGAGGGGGAAGGTCAAATTCCATTAAACTTCTCTTTATGGGTGTTTGTTGATGACCACTTCATGAAAATATTGTCTTCCAAAACATAAGATGCCATAGCTTCCACGTCATGCCAGTAGGAGAGTACAATACATAAAGTCATTGCTAAATCTCTGTTCACTGAAGCAAGAGTGATTTCTACATTGAACACATTTAATTTCTGATCAGGTGGGAGGCATATGTAGTGTTTTCAGTCCTAACATTATTAATCAGAATAAGTCTCCAGTTTCTATGAATAAATAAGAGGTTCTGTGCAAAACAGTTTGAAACACTTTTGCAGAACTTCTGTTAAGACATATGAGCTAAGAAAAAAGTCTACTTGCATTCCTTTGTCATGAAGGATTTTTGAGGAAAATAAACTTTTTTTTTTTTTTTTTTGTCAGATGAATAAAAATATTCTTTGTCAGAGAGTGAAAGAGCAGAACTGAACAAAGGGAGATCTCCCTGCAAGGGAGATAGATTACACTGATACCATCTTGTAGAGGGAGCAAGATTACACGCAACAAGCAGCAGGTCAAACAGCCCTAACACTACTTGTGACTTCCTTAATAAGCACCCTGACCCTTCTTTCATCAGGTTTCTGACGTTTGCTTAGAGCTTATAAGATAGCCTAGATAGCTTTCTTTAATTTAAGTAAGCTGTTCATGTGAATTTTAATGTGAGTATTTGGCAAGCTGCACTTCTGCAGCATTGGCAAGAGCATCTGCATGGAAGACAGATATGATCTGATAAACACTACTCTGCACTTTCAGCTGCTGGGTTGTGCAAGCAGAACTCCCCTGGCTTAACCAGTCCTGTGTGGGCTGGTTGTTTTTTTTTCAGACAGAGAAGTGATCTAACACATATATTTTAACAAATCTAGGATGTTATTGTTGTGAGATTAATCCCAACAGCAACTTGCGTTTTCATGACAGATGATACGTAAAAAGATCCTAGAGCTTACCTTAAAGAGTACCATTATAAATGAATGGAGACCGAGTTACTTTGATTGAGTTGATGATTTGTTACAGTGAAGATGGTAGATAGCACTAGCAAATTATGTGCCTGTGCTGAGGCCACAGAAAGACTGTAGTTTCTTCATTCCTTTCAGTTTCATGGCTTCTGTAAATGCTAGAAACAATACTACTTATGTATATCTGGATGGAGGGCATCCAAAACCTTTGCCATTCCTAGATTTCAGAGCTTTTTCTGAAGCCATCATTAGGAGAGACAGTACTCTCTTCCTTTCAAACACCTTACACATTTTTCTGATGGGAAGCAACTTGACTGGGAGACAACTTCTATATATAGAAGTTATCTAAGAAAGCACTTTGTTAGCTCAGACTTTGCTGAAAAGGTGAAGCAGTAGAAAGTGTAATTAGTTATAATTTTCAAGGCTGCTACAGAAGCAACAACATGATTTTATGCAGTTAACCTAAAGACTTCATGATTTCCAATATCTCTGCAGTCATGTCACTAAAGAAACTGGCATTTGAGGGAAATAAATGTTTTGTCCTATTAGATCTGAAGCTACTTTTCTCAAACATTTGTCTTTTCTTAGGGGAGTTTGTATAGTCTTAACAGCACTTGCACTGAATCTGGCAACTTTGGCAAAGCTGACATCACAGGAGAAATAGAGTTTGCCATAAGATACATCTTCAAGGCTCGCATCTTAGAAATTTGCATCAAGGGATGCAAGAATCTGGCTTATGGAGAAGAGAAGAAGAAAAAATGTAATCCGTAAGTATTTTGTAGAGAAGGAAAAAGAAATAATAAGCAAAATATTGTGGTTTGAAGATACCATCATATATAAATCCATTTCAATATTTATGTATGCCCAGTTAGCATTTTCAGAACATCCAGTGTATATATCTGCACTTTTTACAGCTACACACTGCAAGGCAAACAGGTTTCATACCAGCACGTCTTGATTTCTCTTCTGACCATTTTCTGCTATTAGTTGTCTGTTCACGTGCATGTGAGCAGGCAGTTGGTTATCTGTGTTGCTGATGAGCACCTTTGGATCTTGACAGCAACTAATTCTAGCTCTTAACAGGAACAAGATTCTAGCTCTTAAGTTGTGCCTGCAAAATTAATATACACGTGGCTAAACCATGAGATGGAAAATTGAAATGTGAGTCATGTTGTTAATTCATCCACTGACTCATTGTGGGTTACTGGGTGATTGCCATACTGCTTCTGTGCTTCCATCTTCCTCATCTGTAATAAGAATGGAAATTTCAGATACTGCAACACATTTTAAAATCTGAAGTTGGTTAATAATTACATATCACAAGAGGAAGAAGTACCTACTTCTGTGGATAAAATAGGTCACAGAAATGATGGGTTGGAGAGTTAAGCCTTGGTGGTTTGTTTGTTTGTTTGTTTATTACTAATTGATCCTCTCTGACCATGCAGCAATCATTTGCAGAAAACCTAACAATAAATACCTAACAAAAATAAATACCTAAAAATAAATAAATAAATAAAATAAAAATACCTGAGATACTCTACCCCTGCTGTCATGGGATGTTTGAACACTTGAGTGACCACACCGAAATTTCAGAGTTGCAGTCACCTTCCCCCGGAAGGAATGTGGCTTTGAATATCTTGCAGAGTAAGGTCATAAAGATGAGCCTAGGGTTGAAAGGAGCCTCGCTGGAACAGCAGCTTACAAAGTGGAACAGTTTGGGAGTGTTTTGGGGTGGGTCAAAGTTCTTTAAGTCCCCTGGTAATAAATTTGGACAAACAGTTGCAGGAAGCCTGAAAGGTGCTGTGGGAAGAGCTGTGTACTGGACATTATGTTCTCTGTTGGTATATATTTATGTATTTCTGTTGGTTCCCAACCCAACAGAAAAAAGTACAGTCAGTGCACTCAGAGCACTTGACAGAAAACAAAGTTTTAAGTGATGTTTAACATGTGTTGAATTGTTTGACTGGTTTGAGGTCTGACTGTCTACTTGTTACTCTATCACCCCGGATCAATTTAATTAAGAGGCTAAGAATTCTACTACCTGAATATTTTAAAAAGTAGTTTTTCCTGTGGATAGGTTTGATAAAAATAAGGAAGATGTTTAAGTTCTGCACTGATTATATGAAATAAAACTGACTGTAAGTTAGCCAGGAAGTTAATCAAGAGGGTGGTTTGAAATTGGTTTAAATCATATTATCTGGAATTTATACCAAAAATACAGTTGCCAAGCTGTGAGGCAGCACTCCCTACTGCCAAGACTCTTTGGTTTTGAAGCTGTAATATAAATACAGCCCACTGAACTTGTATTAAGGGGAATGTTTAAATATTAATTTTGACACGACCTACACATGAGAAACTTCGGGTAGTTGTCATTGGTGCTTGATACTCATTCAACTCAGCTTCCAGAAGAATTTATTTTTCTTTTACTGTTTTGCTTTAATGCTGATTCAAGGAAATTTTGAACATTTTACATACTCTCCTACTATCATTCTAGTGGTTATTACAACAACTAATATGTGTAAGTGTTATGAATTATTATGCATTATATGTGTCATTATACCTTTTATTTGCCATATTACTTGATGCTGTGAACAATCAGCACAAACAGCAATGAACCTAAAGGTGATCGAGTTCTTTATTTTTTCTTTGAGCACATAATATGCTCTGTGCTTTCCTCATAAAGCTGTCAGTACAGCTGACAAGGTGACATTCTTGGTGGCTATTTTATAAGAGGACAAGAGTATGTAATAGCAGATTCGCATTCAGAGCCTAATTCTTTCCCAATTAGAATAGGATTGAAACACGTTATCTGAATGATATACAGAGACGTTTATAGCCGGACTGTTCATTTTAATGAGAAAGGATATAAATCACAACTTGCCATTTTATTGCTTAGAAAATTACAAACTCAGTAAAAGTGTTTGAATTAAATAATTAATTTATCTCTTTTAAATAAATCATTTTTCTTAGTTTGATTTATTTTTATTTATTTATATTTTTCCCCTTCTGGTCACATTCCATATCCTCTCTATTTACAAGCTATGTCAAGATTTATTTACTTCCTGATAAATCTCCTCGGAGTAAGCGGAAGACAGCTGTCAAAAAGAGCACAGTGGATCCAGAATTTGATGAGACTTTGAAGGTACTGCTGGCAATTATGTGTCGCTAGAAGCACTCTTCCATGGTAATGTCTCCTTTTATAATGTGCGATCCTGCAAGTTCAGAATTGTCCTGATGGGGCAATTGCAGGAGTCAGTGACAAGAGTCATTAAGAAATGGTTGGTTTCAGTCCAAATAACTTTTGGACTGAAAATGCTTTTGAAGTTCCACTAGTGAATTGTGCACCCTCAAAGGAGTTTTCCTTTGTGCACGAAACACTCCTAAAGGTGTTGTTCTGAGTTACCATGTGGCAAAAGCAAAGTGTCTTTCATAGACTGTTTTGGTGCGTTCAGGATCTGAGCATATTGCAGAGCAGAGTGAGTATTTTACACAGGTGTCCCTTTCCAATGGTGCCCTTTGTTTTCTGTGTCACTGGGAGTGTGTCTCTGCAGTTAGGATGGGGCACCCCTGGATTAGTTTGGTTGTTTCCAGTTTTGTGCCCAGGTCACTGCATAACCTCTTCTTAAGGTGCTTGTGCATCAGTGAGCTGCAGCAACACATGAGATCTTTGGTAAAGTGTATTCTTGGAAGAGATGTGAAACAAAATTAATGGACAAACTTACATCATTTCTCTTTGAGCTACATGAAAGTTTCAGTGTGTATGAACGTCAGCAATTTGTAGCAAGTGAAACAGGCAAAATGTTTGAAAAGAACATTGTTAGAAATTGATAACAAGAACGAGATATATACAACCTATGTCATTCTGGTATATCTCAAAGTCTGTAGATAGTGTTTAAGTTGGGAGGAAAAAAAGCACCTAACACTGAAATAATTGGCTCCTATTCCATAGTTGCTTTTCAGTGCCAGAGCGATGCAGAACTGGTAGAGAGTGAGAGTCATGCCTGAGCTGGCTGCGTGAACACCAAGGGTAGATTAATTATAAATGATTTGAATTGGTTTAAACAAGCAGGAATGGTCAAACGAGCATAGTGCTAGTGGAGGTGAACTGCACCACAGCACTGAGATCCCACTCAGTGGGATCTGTCTGCAAATGAAGGCACCTGCACTTGGGTACGTGCGTTTGTGAGGAGCACAAGTGCTCTTAGGAGTCGCTGGAAGCTAGGTAGGGTGATTCAGGGTTATCCTTCCCAGAGCCTACACCCAGCCTGTGATTCAGCAGCCCAAATGTCAGCAGAGATGCCCGCAGCCATGCCATTGCCTCATTTTGAGTCCAGGTGGATGCAGGTTACCAGACTCATGTGGGTATCTCAGATAGCCAGCCATGTCTCAGAGAGCTCTAACTGTGCCTAGGGAGTAGATCAGGGCTTTAAGGACTGGTCTCCTGAATTACTGCCTTGCTCCTGCTGACTGCATTTAGTAGATTTCTACTGACCAGAATGGAAGTTTTAGCACCTTTGTCGCGTGTCTTAATCTTGACCTCCAACCAGAGCAGCCAAATTGGGCTGGGAGTATAAAACAGAAAAGTAGATTATAAAAAACAATGGTCAAGAATTATTTAAAGTTCTGGATGAATTAAAATCTTCAGCAAGAGGCCAAGGTATTCCTGGAATGTCATTTCATATTTGCACGGGCATTACTTTAGCATTTAAGAAGTGAGGTAACATGGAAATTGCAAGGCACGTTCAGACAGCATAGTTCTGTCTGCATCCCGATGCCTTCAGCCACGCTGTGGTCAGGCAGCCTTTGAGCAGGCTGTGAGCATGGCTCTGCATTCACCCTGTGTGTTGCTTTATAAATGCTGTTTGTCTTTCCAGTACAAGATTGAGTACTCCCAGCTGGCGAGTCGGCAGCTTCAGATCTCCGTGTGGCACGCAGGAGCTCTGAAGTACAGGGTGTTTCTGGGGGAAGTGGTGATTCCATTGGCCACGTGGAATTTTGAAGATAACTCGATGGAGGCATTCAACTGGTACCAGCTAAAATCCAAGGTGACTGTTAGTTCTTGTGCTTGGATCTTAACAACACAGTGTTGTGAAAGTTATGAAAGAGATCACCCTTCTGAGGTCATTGAGGGAAGAATGCCATCAATCCAGCCCACGAATAACACCTGTTATAAATATAAATGAGTTGTGAGAATGATGTGGAATAGAATGTAATGCACGTCTCTCTTTTCAGCTTGAAAAGCCTGAAAATAACCTTATCCAGTACAGTGGAGAACTCCTGGTGTCTGCAAGACTGTCGGTACCAGCCCAGTATAAAAACTTCCAGTTTGAAAGGTGGTTGAGAGAAGGTATCAAACATTCCAGAATACCTGAATCCCTTGGCTAGAAAAGAATTAGGATCAGTGAAGGACAATGTGCCTACTTCACCTTTTTGTTCTTTTTAATGCCAGCAAAAGATGATTGCTTTAATAGCGGTCTTAATTAGCTGTTAGGTTAGTTTTGTTTCCTTTTTTCCCCCACAAACAATCCTGAAGTCACCAGCTTGCATTCTTCCATTTTTCTTCCCTACTCATGCCTGCTGTGCCTCTGCTCTACAAACAGAGCTGTAACAGAGGAGCACTACCACACCACGGGCTGGGCTGTTTCTCCTGCTTCTGGCTTTGTTTCAGGGAAACTCTCCTGTGGGTATTGCCCCGTGGGTACTTTTTGGAAATACAACTGAAAGCTCTATCCTTGGAATAGGAATTGCAGAGCTTTTATTCACTGCTTGTGAATCATGACCTGTATAAGCAGGTTCAAATCTTTCAAATGATCTGAATGCAGCACTGAGTCATTATTTCAGTTGTAGCGATTACTTAATAATTTTCCTGCTTAATTACAGCGGCATCTTACGTTATCAGCTGAACTAACTGGTCACTATTTAATGTGATGAATTCTCCTGTTTCAGGAAAAAAAGACGAAGGAGTTTCCGAACTGCCAGCTTCAGGTTATGATATTTGGGGCCAAGAACTTGCCTGTGCTGAGACCTGCTGGAATGCTGAACTCATTCGTTAAAGGGTATGTATGAGACTTAGCACTTCAAATGGAGAGGGTCACAAACATCCTGTGCAAAGGTAAGAATTAACTCGCTTTCATCAGGAGGCTGCTGTGTGAAAGTGGCACTGTCCACGCTCTTAGTCAGACGTGCTTGTAATTGTGACAGTTTACAGCTGAGTGTCTGCGTAATAGCAGCACGCAGCAGGACAGTGAAGGGTCCTGAGTGGAACATCACAATTTACTGTTGGCATTAAAATTCAGAGTTCACTATTTTAAGCATCTGCTTTTAGATATTGGAAGGAAAAAATGTGTGACTCGAGGGAGGTGAAAATACTGTATTTTAATTCCTGGTTTCAGCTGTGCCCTTGCACAATTTAATACAGCTTTGGGTAGTGAGAAGAAAACTTTGGTCTACACATTTTAAAAGGGAAAGGATTGAATTTTTCTTCAGCGTGCTGGGTACTTAGTATGTGGAGTCATTTTACTTTCTGGATGTCAGGCATACATTACAATATTAAATACCTCCTAAAGCCACTTCACCTGCTGTGGTACCTATCTTCAGTGAAGGGGGTGAGCATTTTATCTACCGCACAGGCAGGTTTCAGACAGTATTGGGTAACAGAACTGGGAGTAAGGGCTCCCTCATCACAACAGAGGACAGTGACAACAGAGGAAAAACAGGTAGAAGACCCACACTGAAGGCAGACAGAAGGAGCCAAAGTCCCCCAAAGAAACAAACTAGCATCATGTTCCACATTGCACTTAGCTGAACTCTTTGCTTTCTAAGGCAAAGTGAAGGGTCCTGCTTGATTAGTGCCCATATTCTGTTTTCTAATTGAGTAAAACACTGCTTGGATCAGAAAACTTGCTGAACTCTTGTTTTGTTTTTTCTTTTGGGAAGCTGCCTTGTCCTTCCAGACCAAGCAGAGTTGAAGCAGAAGTCGCCTGTCCTGAAGAAAGAAGACTGTCCTCAGTGGAAACATTTGTTTGTCTTTGATGTTACCCCAGCACAGCTACAGCAGTCATGCCTACACTTGACCCTCTGGGACCAGTCAACTTTTGGCTCACACGATCAGTTCCTAGGGGGAGCCAAGCTTGGTGCAAGTAAGTTCTTCATCACTAAATGTTGAAGGTAATTTTTTGGGGAAAAAGATAATATTTTACATGCTAAGTAGTATTTGCACTGTGCTATCTGTCATGTGCCTGCACACACAGCCCCTAAACCCTGACCTAAGCAACTTGCAGTCTCAGGCTTTGATCCTGCAAGAACCAGTGCTCGTGTTTTAGTTCAGGCCTGTGCAGAAGCTCTGGGCTGTCAGTGGGCATTGTCAGGCAAAGACATTCGTTAGCATGGGGATGTTCAGGGACAGAGCCTGGCCACACAGAAGACAGGAACAGAACAGGTGAGTGCATCAGCTCATCTAGAGCTCCCTACGTATTTTTCAAGACTTGTTCCTTCAGCAGTTTTCAGTGACTTGGCTTTTTTAAAGTACTAGCATTCACAGCAGCAGTAAGCACATGAATACCTTGCAGGTGTCTGTGCTTATTGATTTATATCCACAAATCCTTCCAATGGGAGATGCAGAATGTGAAACTTGCTCAGAAGTCCTAAAGAGACTAAGCGCATATTTGAGCTTTAGGCTCTGGTCTAACAGCAAAAAGAGCCTTCTTTCTCAAAAGCTCAGAAATGTTTGAGAAATCCTCTGTTCACGGACTGGGCAGGACTATTAATTTGACTAGAGAGCTATTGTCACTTGAAGGCTGCCCAGTGGAGTCCCTCACCCCGTTTCCCAGACAGTAAATGCTTTGGTTTCAGTATTTGAGATGAAAGGCTTAAAATTGAGACACGTCACCGAGCTGTGCTATCAGCGTGCACTTTAGAAGAGTGTTATCACTAGCAATACAGTGTGCAGGTTTCCTCATGAGCTGCTTTTGATTGTTTTATAGCATTTTCCTTTCTGTTAAAGGCAGGGCCTACACGCTTCTGAGTGACAAAGACCATCCAAGCCCCAAGCCTAGTGAGGCATTAAAGTCACTGCAGATGACCAAGCTGATCTGTTTTTGCCATGCACACTGCTTTTAGTCATACAACCAAGAATTTTTTCTTTGCTGCAGACTGAGCTCTTCACTGATCTTACTTTAACAGTATGTAAATAACGTTCTATAACTACAAATTATTGCAATGAATGATGTGAGTGCTACAGAACAGCTGAAAATGCTCTAGAATTGAGAGCAGCAGCTTGTTTGTCGTCCAGTCATTTGGGCCAGAAGATGGTACAGAGCTGGACCTAGAAAAGCCTTTGGGTAAGGCCAAACTGCAAAGTAACCCTGTGACCTTCCCTTTTGCTTTCTTGCAGAGGAATCGCTTGGATTTGCAGATGCTCTTTCTCAGTCAGCACTTCAATGGCAGGAAGTGCTCTGCAGGCCAAACACGTGGATGGACTTCACACTTGTACTGCATTCAAATATGGAAAACTTTAAATCCTGAGAAATTACTGCACAACTTTTCCTCCCCCATGTGTGATGTTTTAAATACGAGTGGCACATACACATGCCAGGTCTGGGGAAAAGGTGTGCTACAACAGTACCTACGCCAGCATCCGGGGAGTAGTTGTACAGTGGAAGGGGTGTGACACTGAAGGTTGTATTTCTCCAAAAACTAAGGCTTTGTTATCTGTATCTCTAGGTGGGATGTAAGGTTAGTATTGTTTCTTCAGGAGTAACAGACTCTGAAACGAATGATGCTGACAAGGTACTAGCAGACAGATGGTTTGCAGCTTCCTATTTCTGGGTATAGAGTTGGAGTTAGTTGAACACAGATTGGAATACTTCATAGGGAAAAATTCCTAGCCTTAAACTTAGATGATTTCATTCTAGCTTTGATGCTTCGTATGTGACCAGAGAGGAATGGAAACTAGATCATTTTTAATGGTTTGTTGTAAATTAGTGACGTTAGTACCTCTATGCTTCAGAATTACGTCTAGTGCCCATACTACTTCACGTAACCCTAAAAAGCTTCTGCCTGGGTGGCCCACCGGTCTTTCAACTGGGTGCTATGCTAGAGGTGGTTACAAGCAGTTAAAATGTATAAATTCTCCTTCAGCCAGGGAACACAGGGCATCAGCTTGTAAAATAAATGTGGTTATAGAAAGTTCCTTGTTCTTCTCAGCTGCTGCTGTGAACCAGTATTAACAAGCCTGACTGACCCAGGTGGTATATGGCACAGCCAAACTTATCACTTATTCAGGTGAACTACTGGAAATGCAAGCTTAATGCCAACTGCCCTGTCACCTCCTTTTGCCTCAGAGGAAGCAGTGTTACAGGCAGCAGAAGCTTTGTATTTACAAGCATAACTAGTGCTGCTGTTATACCTCTTTTCCCTGTGACTGAAGGGAAGATTCCAGCATGGGTTACCCTTTCTTTTCAGACCAGCACAGTGTTTAAGGAAACAGAAATAAAATATAGGGATTCACATGCTAGCCTCAGAATCTTAGAAACCAGCATACCTTACCCAGTATCCACGCTACACTCGAAGAAACACTCGACTCCAACTCCTTTGTTACTCTGCAGATCTTTTATTTAGATGTTTGCTGCTGCAAATAAAAAACCACCACACAACAAAACTCAACTGGAGTATAAAGCAGCATAGATGTTGTAAATGGAAGAGAAGAGCTGACAACATACTGTATCTCACTTTCTAACAGATTTTCAAGGAAAGGGGGAGATTAGTGGGGAAGGAATAGTCACAGAAATGCTCTCTAATAGAGAGAATACAACTGTGATATAAACAAGCAGTCCCTTCATGTTTGGAGTCTGAAACTTTAAATCAAACATTTAAAAAATTAGAAAATTTGTTAGAAAAATAGGTGCAGTAAAATTGTATATATTGGATCATGTGTACATATCAATTTTTCATCATTAAGTAAAAAAAGTGATCTTTACAAATAATGCTTTATAGTAAATAATCAGTTGCACTGCAGACTACAGTGTTTAGACTTCTTTACAGATGCAAGTCTCATTAAATCTGAAAAGTAACAAAATATACAGAGCAAAACTATTCCCCTTTTAAACTAGTACAGCAATCCACGTATTGCATATTTTATATATATATAAATACTACACTATAACTGATCAGTAATGAAGCTGGAATGCAAACACGGTAGTGTATTATTCCAACAGAGTATCTGCCTAGTTGTTACGGAAGGAGGGTGTCAGTGTTCCTACGCCACGCTGGTGAGCTGTCACTGCAGAATACCTCCAATTGAGCACAGTAACCAGAAAAAGCCTTATTCCCATGCAAAGTAGTTCTGAGGTGTTGTCAGTTCTTTTATTTGTGTATCAGGGGAAGGTGGGCATGAAGACGAAGGAAAAAAACAGGGTGCATGCACAAGCACACACACAGGTGTTTGCAGTTCCTGAGTTGTCTTCTCAACTGTTGGACTTTACACTGTGACTGTAACACAGACATATGGCACAAAATTCATCCACAGTTGCTTATTTTTAGACCCAGCTGAATCCAGCACCTGCACAGGACCCGCATCTACAACTCGATGCAGGTTTGTGTTGCTTAAAGAGAGATGTGACATAAGCATAAGGCCTTTTGGCACTAAGCAAAGGCATGAGCAAGTTACCAGGATCAGTGGTACGATGAATTTTAACTATATCAAATTTAACACACAGGATGGAATGAAAGGGAGATGCAAACACCTCTGGGTTTAGAGGACATTTGTTAAATATCATAGTAACCCCTCCTCAGGGAAAACAACAACAAACAAAAACACAGCATTAAGATCTGCCTTTCCCACAGTCTTGCTTTCTTGTTATAAGCATCATTACATTGCCTCAAACTCATCAATTCTCTGCTTGGTGTTGCCTTGCCGGATTTGTCGCAGTGTCTTGTACTTGTCACGTCCCTGCCGCACGTTCTCTGAGTGGATAATATCATTTTGGGTCCTCTTATCTTCATCTCTAGCCTGTGCCAGCTCATCTGTCAGTGCCTGCAATAAAAAGAACATTACAAACAGATTACACACAAGAAGCTTCCAGCTCATGACAGCAGTGATTTTGATGAGATTTAACAGTCCTTAAATGACTGGACAGATCAGTGATATAGACGCAATGTATGCTTCTCATGAACTTCTGCTTCTCATAAGCGAAGAAGTTATTGAGCTTTGTGTATTTAACCAAGTGGTTAAATTATCCATTTTCCAGGAATAATTTCTTTCATCACTTTCCCTCCTCCAAACATTTTCTTACCCTCAACTGCCTCTGTACACGCTCGTTCTTCTCGGCCTCAGTGATGCGCTTCTCCTCGTTGCGGTCGTTCCTGATGCCCTCACTGGACAGCTCTGCGCTGAAGGCAGAGTACTCGGACCCCTCGTCGTGCAGGTTATCGTGAACGTGGTAGTTCACGGTCTCATAGACAGGTGGGGGTGGAGGTGGAGCAGTCATTACCAAGTGCAGTTCCTCCTTTGTCTTTACCAGATCCTCCTGGGCTTCCCTTGCCTGGGGAAAAAAAAAAAAAAAAAAAAAAAAAAGAACATTTTAATGCATTTCTTGATTTAAACAAGCTTTATGAACACTTCAATGCTTATTTTCCCAGTTTTGTCATTCTACAATGTAAAGCAAGAAATCAGGAATTAAGTCTCCAGCTGACAGTACTTTGTTACCTTCTTGAGCAGATTTCTTTTTTTTTTGCTAGTGACAGTATTATTATCCATGGCATAATACGCAGGGTAGCTAAATTAAGAACAGTCCTCCAACAAAACAGTTTTTCCTAAACCGTTTTGTAGAAAATTACAGTTACCTTCAACCCGTTCTCCATTTGAAGAAGCGTAGGTTGTAAATATGGGTTCTAGAGAGCAAGAACCTAGACTCCTGAGTTGGCACGTGTAACAAGGTTATGCAGTAGGAAGACAGCTTTCTTGCTTCTTCAGTGGTTCTACCCCCCTGTTCAGGCTGCAGCAATAGTGATGTGGCACTGGGAGCACCAGACATCGCCAGCCTCGCGTGGTTCATTCTCGGTTTTACCAGTGTCTAGTTACACAGTTCTCCAGACCCAGGTACCAGGAAGCCACTGACAGCAGCCTCAAGGCTGGTGCCCTCTCCAAGATGATCACATTTTTAGGTTTTATACGACTCCCATTTTGTATTTTGACTAAAGGCTTGTTGAAAGCAATGTTTTGGAGGCATACTGCACATTAACCACAAGGCTGGCCTTTTCTGCTGGTGCATGGATGCGAGTCTCCACATATGACAGAAGTTACACCAGGCTAAGCACCACGGTACGCTCTGCCCAAATGCAGAGCTTCAGAGCAACTTTGACGAAGATACTCACTCTGATTTGCCATTCTTCAACTTCGCTCTCTTTACGCTTCCTTGCCTCTTCCAGAAGTGCAATCTTGGCTGTATACTCTGCAAGCTCTGTAGCCTGTTAAATAATACAATTGGAATTATAAGGACTCAAAAAAAAACACACAAAGAAACATGTTTGACTGAGAAAAGACCCAAGTATTATACTCCACTCTAATAAAGAATGAACAGGAAATTAAGAACAAAAAGTAGGTTGCTTGTGATAGAATCATTGTGGCACTAGCATCTTTCTATCAGATGGTCCAGTACTTTATTGCACTACATTTCTATTTTATTTCCCCCCGGAGCCTGAGGCTTTGCCTTATTCAAAGGGCACAGTAACATGCCTTTGCATCCACAAGTGACTGGCTCTTACCAGCTGTTCCTGGCTCTTTATCTGGTCAATAGTCTGTCTCTCCAGCTCTTCCTTGGCTTGCAGAACAGCCAAACGATCAGCTTCCAAACGCTCTGCTTCCTCCTGGGCTCGTCTCCTTTCCTCCTCCAGCTTAATAGCTCTCTGGATCTGATCTGAGAGCTCTGGGAAAAGACAGATCAGTGCTGTTAGTCCACAGGCCTGGCCAAAGCGAAGACAGGCTCTTAGGTAACTGCAGAAGTCACGACAAGCACATGGCTGCAGCCTACAAGCTCTTCATTACAGGACCAGATGTTGGTGTCTCCAGCCTGCTCATCTGTGCATTGAAACAGAAGCTTCCATTTCACTGGAAAGCCTTGTTCCCGAAGTACTATTTCTGTTAGTTGTTAAGTAAAAAGCACTTGAGAGCTGAGCTCTGTTTCTCTCTGCTGCAGAGGGCTTATGCTACTAAAACCCTCTCAGGTAACAGGAAAACAAAGTTGGTGTGACCTTCAATTCCCAGTTAGATTAACAGATTTTGTGACTTTTATGCCTTGGATGATCTCAGCAGTGCATGCATGTGTGCATTTATTCATGGAGGTAGATACTCGTGTGCCTTGTCAAGAGACCCAGTGTCACCAGATTTAGGCTGTGGAACCCAACACACGTGATCTGGTCAGACAGTCCAAGTACTTTACCTTTCTCTGCCTTCTGAGTCTTCACTTCATACTCTTGTAGCCTCACCAGCAGCTCTTCCTTCTCCCTCAACATTTGCTCTTTCTCTCTCTCAATCGTCTCCCTCCTCTTCTTTTCATTTTCTAGTTGTTGCCTGTGAGAAACAGATTTCATCCTTGAAGCTTGCTTACAGACACAAGCTACAGCAAGATAAGAAAAGTTGGATAAGAGAATTTAAGAAAATCTCTCCAGACAGTTCAATGGGAAATGACCATGAGACTGCCACAAGAGGTGTAACACAGAAATGCTTAAAGCCATTGTCTTGGGTTTGCCTAGGACACAGTTAATTTTCTTCGCAGAGACTGACACAATCCCGTGTTTGGATTTTTGATGAAAATAGTGGTGATAACACACGGATGTTGTAGTTGCTGCAGAGCAGTGCTTACACACAGACCCAAGGTCTTTTCTGCTCCCCACGCTGCCCAACCAGGAGGAGGCTGGGGGTGCCCTGGGAGCTGGGAGGAGACACAGCCAGGACAGATGGCCCGGGCTGACCAGGGAGATCTCCCACACCGTGTGGTAGTCGTGCTCAGCAGCAACAGCTGGGGAGAAAGGAGGAGAAAGGGGGAGACATCCAGAGCAGTAATGTTTGTCTTCCCAGGAAACCGCACGCATGATGAGCCCTGCTTTCCTAACAGTGGCTGAGCACCTGCCTGCAGATGGGAAGAAGTGAATGAATTCCTTGTTTTGCCTTGCTTGCATGCACAGCTTCTGCCTCACCTAGTGAACTGTTTTATCTCAAGCCACGAGTTCTCACACTTCTGCCTCTCTGATTCTCTGCCTTATCCCACCTGGGGAGACTGGGCAAGCAGCTGCATGGTACTTAGCTGCCTGCCTGGGTTAAATCCCAACGTTTGGTACTTAATCACTTCAGAATTAGTGCTCAGTTTTTGGATTCCTGCATTTCATTAAAATATTTGTATTTTCTGTTGCCTGCCCCAGAAATTTACAATACAAAAAAAACCAAACACATACCAGTAGATGCAGAGGGAAAAAAAAACAGTGCTCTGTACTACACAGATTTCTTTTGTTCTGTCATAAGGAAAAATCAAGGACAGAGAAACACGAGCACTGGGAAAGGAAGACTAACAAGTCACTGATACAGGAGGAAAGCAGTAGGATTTCTTGAATCATAGGCAACCTGCAGCCGGTCACATAAGACCAGTAGAGCTATTAACCCTTCTCCCTTGCCTGTAAGAAGTCTCCCACTCCCCTCTTGCCTGCTCACAGCATACACACGTACTCCCTGTGGAGTTTGCTCCCTCCAACACAGATCAGGCCCTAACAGGTAAGACTCAGGAGAACCCCTCTGCAGGTATATGGCTGCCCACAAGAGCCCAGTGACTCCACTGGCACACCTCCTTGAAGGTCCAGCTCTCAAGGCTGCAAACAAGAGAGCCGACTGCACCGGTCACAGGTCTGAGCCAGA